TTATCTGATAGAGAATTTTCCAATCTTTCATAATCAACAATTTTTGGGTTGCTATCTCTTTTAGTTTAAGAGATATTAATTATCAAAAATCGTCGATAAAAATTATCAAGCACCCCCCCTTGGCAATTTTTTTCTTAAGAATTAAAATTTTATCTCTCAGATTTCTGTTTTAACAATCCTATCTTATAGAGAATAGTCCGTAGATTAAGACGCTGCGATCAGATCTTAATTATCTCTTTTAGTTTACGAGATATTCGCGATTGAATAAAATGGGCAAAAATTGAAAAATGTCACTTTTTTGCACTTTTAATCGCGTTTTTCGACCTTTTACTGTTGGAAATATAATTATTTTATATTTTTATCTGATAGAGAATTTTCCAATCTATCATAATCAGCTATTCGTTAGCTGCTATGTCATTTAGTTTAAGAGATATTAATTATCAAAAATCGTCGAAAAAAAGTATCAAGCACCCCCCCTTGGCAATTTTTTTCTTAAGAATTAAAATTTTATCTCTCAGATTTCTGTTTTAACAATCCTATCTTATAGAGAATAGTCCGTAGATTAAGACGCTGCGATCAGATCTTAATTATCTCTTTTAGTTTACGAGATATTCGCGATTGAATAAAATGGGCAAAAATTGAAAAATGTCACTTTTTAGCACTTTTAGTCGCGTTTTTCGACCTTTTACTGTTGGAAATATAATTATTTTATATTTTTATCTGATAGAGAATTTTCCAATCTATCATAATCAGCTATTCGTTAGCTGCTATGTCATTTAGTTTAGGAGATATTAATTATCAAAAATCGTCGAAAAAAAGTATCAAGCACCCCCCCTTGGCAATTTTTTCCTTAAGACTTAAAATTTTGTCTCTCAGATTTCTGTTTTAACTATCCTATCTTATAGAGAATAGTCCGTAGATTAAGGCGCTGCGATCAGATCTTAATTATCTCTTTTAATTTACGAGATATTCGCGATTGAATAAAATGGGCAAAAATTGAAAAATGTCACTTTTTAGCACTTTTAGTCGCGTTTTTCGACCTTTTACTGTTGGAAATATAATTATTTTATATTTTTATCTGATAGAGAAATTTCCAATCTATCATAATCCGCGATTCGTTGGCTGCTATGTCATTTAGTTTAGGAGATATTAATTATCAAAAATCGTCGATAAAAATTATCAAGCACCCCCCCTTAGCAATTTTTTTCTTAAGAATTAAAATTTCATCTCTCAGATTTCTGTTTTAACTATCCTATCTTATAGAGTATAGTCCGTAGATTAAGACGCTGCGATCAGATCTTAATTATCTCTTTTAGTTTACGAGATATTCGCAATTGAATAAAATGGGCAAAAATTGAAAAATGTCCCTTTTTAGCACTTTTAGTCGCGTTTTTTGACCTTTTACTGTAGGAAATATAATTATTTTATATTTTTATCTGTTAGAGAATTTTCCAATCTATCATAATCAGCGATTCGTTGGCAGATATGCCTTTTAGTTTAAGAGATATTAATTATCAAAAATCGTCGATAAAAATTATCAAGCACCCCCCCTTCGCAATTTTTTCCTTAAGAATTAAAATTTCATTTGTTAGATTTCCGTTTTAACTATCCTATCTTATAGAGAATAGTCCGTAGATTAAGACGCTGCGATGGGATCCTAATTATCTCTTTTAGTTTCCGAGTTATTCGCGATATTTGCGTGTCGTTTCATTAATTTTGAAATCACGATTCTAAAAAAAGTTTTTACTTTAAAAATAATAAATTTATATATGCGAATTAAATATAAATATTGCATAAATAAATTACTTAATTTTCTTGTAACGTCCTAATAACAAAAAAATGACACTTTCTGTTTGTGTGTTTCTGCAATTTTGCAACTTACAAGCAGCGTTGTTGTAACATGCATTTCCGAGGCATAGAAAAGCAAAAAAAGCATAGTAACATTAAAATTGCGTCGATTACGAGTCGACTAGACTAGAACTGTGAGCAATAATGATATTGTAATATTTCATTATGAAGAATATAAGCAGAATAAGTAATGTAAACATTGCATTAACTTTTGTCTTCATTTTGTGTACAAGTTTTTTTTTTCATTCTTTTTGGTTTTGCACGCTATTTTTACTACTAATTACACGCGTTGCTTTGTGTTTTATGCAGAAATTCACTTGTAACTACACGTTATTACTACATATAAAATATTTCCACAAAATGAAAATTACTGTCATTGTAAAATAATAATTTTATGTTTTTAAGAATTTATATATCTCAACCGATACATTCGAGTATAGTTTATTTCTTTATTTCTAGAAATGTGATTATATCAATGTGTTGTTTCTCAAGGAAGTAGCGTTTTCATTGCAGTTCAATGAACAAGCCGAGTTTAAAGCGTTAAAGCGAAATCAGCGACACGAAACAATAAAGTTTTCCCGGTTGACTAGTTCCGTTCGTCGCTTCCTCGAAATTTGACAAATTCGCAGGAACTCTTAGATTATTTTTTCATCTTTTGCGCGTAACCAGTGACAAATAAACTCTTTTAGCTACACAAATAATATAATCAAGGAAGTGGATGTTTAATGCGTGAAAACTGTGAATAAATGCGTTTATTCCGCAATTATTCATTCGGCGACACAAAAAGTTGACTTTCTGCTTTCACCCATTTAAAAAAATTTATTTAAAAATGTGAAATATTAAAAGTAAAGTTTTATAAGTTATTGCGCCTGGAAAAATGAACTTCTTCGCTATATTTTTAGAAAAACTAATTTTAATAGTTTGCTACTATTAATCTTAATTATCACCGACCGTTAGAGCAGTATGCGAGTAGTTGTGAGCTTGTTATAATCTCGAATAGAGAACTAACCCGGAAGTGACCCAAAAACGCAGCGCTACGACTTCCAGTGTCCCAAATATCCAGATTTAATTAATCTATACGTCTTGATAAATTTACACTCTGCTCCTGATTTGCTTTTATTCTTTAACTGCTGAATAACAGCTAGTTTGCTTTATATTTATCATTCTATTAACTCGGAAGTGTTTGTTTGTATCGTCTGAAGGCGTCGAGCACATGTTTGGTCGATTCCGACCACGTTTACCATATGCCAACCGGAATTCTCTCACTGAATTTACCAAATTTGGTAAAAAGAAAAACTTGACATGTTTAAACTTTCTTTAGACATTATTACAGTAGCATTATTATAGCTTCACATTAATTACTTAAAAACTAATTGTAATACTATTATAATACTTGCCGAAACAGATTTTAAATTAAATTAAATTAAATTAATATTTATCAATTTATAAATAGGTATTGAGTTGAACGTTATAAACCTTTAAAGTTAAATTTTACTACATTTAATTAACTTTTTATTTATTGTTCTGTATCTAATGATTAAAATCAATTAATAATTAAATTTCAACTTAAACCGATACACAATTTAATAGTTAATAAATATATTGCTGCAGGAATAAATGATGTAAAGTAATTAGTTTTTGAGTAATTAATTTTTAAATATGGTTATTGATCTGTTACACTTACATCACGAATATACTTTTAAATTTTACTCTAATTTTGCGCACATTTGTAAGCAATAAAATCAAATTATCATTAATCATGGGAATATTTTTTACGTTTTAACCGTGATCAAAATTACATCATGATAAGTAATAAAAATTCGTAACGTTAATAACACTGCTGGTCTAAAAAATAAAAACCTACAAAAAACCGTGAACATCCGTTCCCAAGTTTGAATCTTTGTAAATTTGTGAACCAGTTAATCTTGACCAAGAATCTCAATATGTACATATGCCGGCCTATTAATTATAAATTATGTTTGCTCAGAAATCAATTTAAAAGCGAACTAAACCAAATTATCAACAAAAAAGAGTAAAAAACAGTTAGCTACCAGCAAGCAGTGCAAATAAAGCGTAAATAAACTCAAATACACACAAAACTAACAAATGATGTATAAGTGTACAAGTTTAACGATAAAAAAAATTAGTTATGCGTAAAATTTTGCAAGAATTTAAATTGTTTCGGTGTTAATGAACTGAAGGTGATAATTGTTGCTGTTTTAGTCAATATTTGCACATGTTGAGTATTATAAATTCATTTATTATTCATTACAGCATCTAATAATGCAAAAAGTTTATTGATGACATCTTTTATTCAAAAGTAATAATCAATTATGGCAAATTTTCCATTTTTTGCAAAATTAAATTTTAATAGGTAATAACATTTTACGATTTTTTCTGATCGATAAAATTTGCCAACAATTAAATCTAAAATTTAATATAAATCTGTTTCTTAATAAATTCATAAAATTACCATAAATAGTTTTCATTTAATTCAGGAATAACTTTAAATTTATTCTCACACCATGCGATTATAGTATAAAAATTCGATTTAAATAAGAAAAAACGCATTAAATACATTATGCAAGAGCAAATTCCGTCACGTCGTTTATAGCATTTCGATTTCAATTTCATTTAAAATGTAATTTCAATAAACCCATATATGTTTTACGTAGTTTTAATTCGTTTCTGTTTCTGTTTTTACCGAATTTAAACTTTTGCGCATTTCACGCAATTGATTTCAACTTGAACAGCAATTTTTCTTGCGGCTTTCTCGTTAAATTTCCGTCCGACTGAGTAAAAATCCGTCGGTGCGTTCACGCCTGGTGTCACTTCTCATTCATTCGTTTTATTTGACTTTTGTGTCCACGATCTTATACCTACGGGTTTTTCGGAAGCGTTAAAAACTTATTTTTAGCCAGCTGCGCACGCCGGTAGAAAACAAAAGAGTAAATCTGATCCCCTAACAAAATAACGCACAAAAAACACAGTGGAAAGACATGTTTATTTAAAAATGCATTCCAGTGGTCGAAGAAGCTTGACTTAAGTCAGTTTCGTTTAAGCATTTTCAGCTTGGACCTCTGCAGATATTTTTAACTCGCTTAACTCTTTCGATATTGTTTATTTTTTGTGTTAATTTTTGGGTTGCTTACCTTTCTGAGCCTCACCACTTCGGGTGGTTCCTGTTGATGATGAAGATTCTCTTGCACTGCATTCAGTGTGGCGCATTTGTTCTCTCGATATGCCGAATTCACAGCCATCGAGCGCGCGAAATAACTTTTGTAGTTTCCGTCGTCCAAATCCGGCACACTCATGTCGAAGCGTACTTTATCACTCACCATCGTTTAAATTAATCCAAATCTAAATTAATTGTTATTTTAATTGCGCTGGACACATTTAATTTTAATGCACTGAACACTGGGTTAAATTAATTCCGTTGTGAGTTTGTGATTCTTTCGATGATATGAAAATGTTTAATTAACGAAGAGGCACGTTTACCGTCCGTCCTGCCGGCAGGTAGAACGTTGAATCCGACGAACCAAACGCGCCGCCTCGACCAACTCGAGTCTTCCGTATGTTCTCCAGCTCATACCATGCGCGTACTTTCAAACTTTGCGGTGCACGCGCGAACGCGTAAGTCACTCGCGCATGCGTACGAACAGCATGCAAACAGATATCTTATTCAAAAGCGTTTTAATCATCAAAACAATGAGTATTGCTAATTAAATCAGTGATAATAGTTAGTAAGCACTGATATTAATTTATTTAATCGTTTGTGAATGACAAATGCTTAAAGTAATGAGCGTTACTAATTTAGGAATGAGTAGTAAGTAGATTGAATGAAATTAATAAGTTTATATGTAAAAATTATGACTAAAATATGACTGAGGCTAATTAATTTCAATTAGTAATATTTAGAAACTGTTTTGTAGGTATTATAAAGAAAAGTTTAAAAACCATAAGTTTTAATGGAAAGGTATTATAAAAGGGTTAGAATTCGTGTCGGCACCTGCACGAGGCATTTTGAGTCTTCATAACTTGTTTTCTGTAACTGCTTCGGAGAGTAGCAAGATTTATTAAACTTTGTGTGATTACGGACAGATGGCGCTAGGAGTTCCAATAAATTAAAATTAAACTTATTTTTTACGATATTTCAGGTTTGTTATTGTTGTGAATTCAGAGAACATAAACAATATATATTTTATGATTTTTTGGAATTAATACTTAAAATATTTGTTTAAAACACATTTATTTATCTGTTAATTTAAATGTAAAAGTGTTTCTTTTGCTGATTATTGCCTTGCATCAATTATCTTGTTCAATTTGTATGCTTGACCACAAAAACCTCATTAGGTTTCCATGCCGTGGCGTAATTAAAGACTAGCGCACAAAAACGGAACTCACCAATTATCGAATTGAAGAATTCGCTCTTAAATTATGTTTATTTATCACGTTGCATCAAATACCTGCCCAACTCACCTTCAATTATTTTATTAATCATGCTAATCGCTTGAAAAAACGAAGAAATATTCGGCATTAGTTAATATTCATGCGATGATTATATCAATGAGCATAAAATGCATAAGATATTTGGTATTTTTTGTACGCTTTTCTTCGGTTTGGGTTTGATTTAAACTCGTAAATTTGATAGGCTTGACCAAGAAAAGAAGAAAGTTTAAAGGCGGCACACGGAGCGAAAAAGAAAAAGAGCAGAACCGGAGGCCATATATTTAAGCTGAAATTAGAGGACGTGAGAAGACGTCTCTATCACAGGTATAAATACACACCTTGCGACGCGCCGAGCCCGGCGAGAAATTCACCCGGCTCGGGGAAGATCAATGTGCTCCTAATTACGGTGTGATGCGCTTCTCAAAGTCACCAACCAAGCTCGGATGTGATAAACGTGATAAATTGGATTGATATAACTAGAAACTAATTAGTTTATTATTTATTTAAGAAAAAATGTTGTTTTAATGCCATTGTTTATTATTTCTGACAAAAAATTCATTTTCAGCCAAAATTAGGAATTAAAATTATTTTATGTTAGGTTATGTTGAACTATTAGCTTATTTAACCAATAATATGCTAAATTTTAATTAAAATTAAGAAAAATGCTAATATTGCATTTTAGCGCCCTCTAGATTCGAATTACGTAACTATAACTGCGATTGAATCTCAATATCAACTTTCATTCTTTATTTTACAACCTTTTACCTAATTTTTACTACAAAATGTTGCATATGTGCTTCTCCAGAGTGAAACAAATCTTTGCCCCAAAATTTATCAAAATTCGCATATAAAATATTACCCAGGATTTATTTACTTGTTTTTGTTGAATATTTTATTTATCATCACGAAACCGGTTTGCACTTTATCCTTCACGGTAGCACCCGAAGACTTCTGCATCGCGAAGAAAAGTTCAAAGCTCATCAAGCGTCGGCATGCACCACTCTTCAGCTGATACTACCTCTAGCTGCATGCATATGCAAGTGTGTGTGGTTGTTGATGTTGATGTTAATGTTGATTGTTACGGCGTGCGGTGAAAAAGAAAAACGTCTCGACGTTCAAGACGCTGCAATTAAATTAAAATCTCTTCGCTCTTCGCCACCACTCCGCTTCTACCAGTCATTCTCTTGTAAGTTGCATTGATGCAAGTTGGAATTGAAGACGTTCGAAACTCGAAACTCGGGCTCGAAGTCGCGTACAGCTCAATTAAAATTTAATTCTTGACATTTTACAAAATGGCGTGTTTGGTACCGACATGAATGAGACAAGTTTTGTTTTTGTTGGTTTTTACTTCACTACACTCGAAAAGTGAGTGAAAATTGATGAAGAATTGATGAGTTCATGCGTGAAACTATTGATTTGTTTGTTTATTTGTTTGATATCGAACAATTAACGTCGAATCGATTCGTTCAAACATCAATTTTTCGTTGGTTAGCTCCAGCCGAGTTTTATTTAAGTGCAGTCATGCATGTCGAACGTAATCAAGCTCGTGTCTCAATCGAATTGAGTCACAACAATAGATTTCACGCTTATACACAACTCAACCCTTTAACTTTTAACCCTTTTACTCACTGTGATCGGCGAACAATGACCAAATAAATATTTATCAAACAAATAAAAAAGTTGTGAATGAACGATTGGAAATAAATAATAAGAAAGGAGTGAAAAATGCGCAATACGCCCTTTAAATCATGATTTGTTGGCTTTAATTCGATTTGATTTTGTGTGGTGAAGAAAAACCCTCTGCATGTGCAGGTTATTTCTGTGCAAGACGTGAAACAAAAGAAATTCAATGCACGAATGCACAGCTAAAAGCCTTGCGCATTAAGTTGAATTTCTTTAGTCGACCAATAATGTGTGCACTGTGCGCCACAATTTGTTTTTGTAAATAGCACGCGCTCAACGCTTTCGACGAAATTGTCGAAAACACCACTTTTAACGGCTGCAAACAAACAATACGTCTTAAAAAACATAAAACATGTGTTTCGTATGTGTATGTGAGTATCATGAACAAAATGGCAGATCAATCTTGGTTGTAAACAAAGTTTGTTTTATTGGTTACAGTTGCATTCGGTGTCCGAAAGCGAAAATAGCGCAAACATTTGTTGTGTTTTGTGGTATTCAGATGTTTGAACTCGCACCGTTTAAGTTTACCGATTTCGAACAAAGTTACAAACGTTTTACAGCAAAGCACGCGTATATTTATAAATAGTTTACTAACTCACTAACTCACGTTTACTGCTCGCGTTTTTGCTCGCGCGTTCCTAAATTACTCGCGACTTTATTGTGCGCGATTCCGATTCTTTGTTTCAATCGTTCAATCATAGTTAAAAATAATTTGATGGTTATTTACTTACTTCTTTCTTACTTAAAATAGAAATAGAAAACGATGAAACAATGAAGTGTTATGAAGAAAATATGAGTATTTTGATATTTTTAGCTGTTTAACCCCTTGTTGTATAATGTTTGCGTTCTTAATAAGAAAAAAATCATAGATGACATAGAGTGAAGGCACGTGTGATGTATGGCAGTGTCGAGTGAGCGCGGCGATAATTATGTTGTGAGTTCCCCTCGATTAAAACTCATTTCCTTTCTTGTTTCGAGTCTGTTTTGCATCTCCGGCTCGTATTTTCTATTTTTTGTTGATGTAAACATTTGAATGTATAAAAAAGGTTACTCTATACATGATTATTTGGTTGCCTATTCTAAAAATAAGTACATTTATCATAAATTTTGGTATTTTACTCAATTTAACTCAATTAAACATTAATTTAAATATTTATGTTTATTTTTCTAGGCAATTTTATATCAAAAGATTTATTGTGTTTTATTTGTTTCAGTTGCCGTTTACAGCGCCTCTATCGGTGTTACATGGAACTACATTAAGTACTGTTGAATCCTTGTGCTTTAAATCTTTTGTTTTATTGAAATTCGCGTAAAATATGTTTCAAAACCATAAATCAGTTAAATACACAAGTCGTAAACATAGTCTACAAAGTATAGTTATAGTTTTTACGTGTTTAAAGTGTATAAGAAGCTGGAATGCAGACGGTTGCAGTTTCGCAGATGGCCATAACCTTCATCATCGTAAGTTTTGAATTTATTTTCATAAATTTTGCGCATATTGTCATACCTATGAAAATACATAGGTAAACACAATGTTTGTTTATTTTCTTCCCTGGGATGAATGTGTCGCTGTTTCGCTATTCACGCATTCTGATAAACATGTTATGTCGTGCTAATACGCCACATTAGCGACAATCGCAGCTGTCAGCGCCGTGGCTCTTTAAGCGTGTGTCCACAATTCTCATTTTCAAAAGGCACACTGTTACCGTGTGAGTGTGTAAATTGAGGTATCATCGCAGTCTGCACGTCCCTCACGCTCCCAACATGATCCACCTCTTCTCAAACCGTGGAAGTTTTGGTTGTTCCCTCGGCGGTGACCGCGCCAAATGCATTCGACGCATTTTATTGTTGAGCGCTTTAACGTGTCAAAGAATAAACCGTAGCACAAAACTACCACCGAATCAAACCAAACACACAAGCTGGTGATGATGGTGCGAGTGTGGAGACCTGTGACACGGAGGCGCGGCCTGCGGTTAAATGGAATATTCATCGTTAGGGCAGGCCGAAAATCCGACAAGAATCGCATTTAAGTAGCGCTATTGTGCTCGTCTGCATTTGTAACACTAACCATGTAGGCATTGCACGCGTATGCTGCGCATGGATTCATTTTCAAGTATTTTTGGGGTGCGACCGATGCATTTTGGGTGCAATATGGGCTGGCGAAGCTAGTAAACTTATATGTGAATAGAAAAGTCGAATGATGAACATGTCGGCTTAAGAGATTAGAGGATTAAACTCTTTATGGGTTTGGTCGTAGTTTTTTGGTAAGAGTTTAACGGACTTTTTGGTAATTTAAATTCATAATCATCCAACGTCATGATTTTTTCTTCTTTTGATAGCAAAAAAGTCATTTTCTTGCTTTTTTGGTTTTTTGAACAAAATTTTGATGAAAATTTTCTGAAATTTGCATATAACAAGGTTATTAGTTGCATACACAACGTTTTTATAAA